TACTTAAGTAAATATTAATATGCACATATATTGTATACATAAGTATGTGGCCATAAAATATGTATGAACATACATTCATACATAAATATGTATGTGAAAACAAGCATACGAAAAAATTACACATTTCGTTAACCAGCTTGCAAACAACCATTCAAATAAGTATACGAAAAATGTATTCGCAAAGGACTTTCCAACAAAAGCACACAAGGCAAATAAGATAGACACCAACAAAAATGAAAAGTAATAAATATAATAATAATAAAAGCAATATAAAGGCAACCAGCACTCTCCGCTCATACATACATACTTAACAACCGAAGAATCGCCGAAATTGTGTGCTACATACATAAATACATACATACATACATATTACATATGTAGGTAGAGCAAATGCCAACAGCAGCGCAGCAGAAGCAACATTAATAAATTAAATAAATAAAATAAATAAATAAAAGAAATTATTGGCATACATGAGGGCCAAAGCTAGCAATAACAACAACACCGCGCTACATCGCCACTCCTTGGCGGTGGTGGTGGTGGTGGCAGCAAAAACAGCAGAAGTAGAAGTAGCAGCAGTAGCAGCAATTTATTTTTATGTGTCTCCACATTTATTTATTTGTGAATAAGCGAGTGGCGTGTGAATGTGTGTGCGTGAATTAAAGTGCGTGAGTTTGTTACATACGTATGTACATTAGGGTGCCCATCGAAAAGGCTTTTTTTTTTTTAGAAATTTCAAGACCCTACCCCCTAATTTTATTCGTTTTTATGAGAAATATTATTGCCTATTTTTATAGATTTTTTAGAAGTCGCGACCTATCGATTTAGGTCACAAAATACGATTTTGTAGATTTATGAGTTTTTGAATGACTATTATTGATCGATTTCAAAGATCGAATATGATATGTTGTCGGACTAGGCTTGTTGGGATTTTTTACGACCCATATTTCTCTTAATTTTTTAAATTTTGACCATCGATAATTTCTACGATTTCAAAATATGGAGCACTATCTAAAATTAAATATATTTTCAAATAAACTGATACCTAATTTATTGCAATCGCGTAAAAATTTCTGACCTAAATCGATAGGTTGCGACCTCTAAATGACCTTTAAAAAATCTATAGAAATAGGCAATAATATTTCTCATAACAACGAATAAAATTAGAGGGAAGGGTCTTGAAATTTCAAAAAAAGCAGCATTTTCGATGGGCACCCTAATGTACATACTTATAAAGGTATGTACAGAAATGCGTATTATGCTATAATTCGGCGAACAGCCCCACCCTTTGCAACTCACAATTACGGCATATTCATGTTTGCCTACATACATATTTACATACATACATATGTATTAACACATTTCGCTACATACATAATTAATATAAATAACATTAAAATAAAATTAATAAATAACGAAGCAGCAAAAACAGCTGCAACAAAAGCACCACCATCAGAAAACTCCAACCCAGCAGCCAGCAATCAGGCGGAAAAATAGCTCAACGCCGCACTCGCACTGTTAGCGGCGAGCTGACAGCAAACAAGCAAGCAAGCAACATAATGCATGCACAGGCAGCGGCTATGTGCTTGTGCTCGATCTACTAAGTAGAAGCTGGTGGAGGGACTAAGGGGGAGAAGTTGCGGTGCCAGAGCAGCTCAACCAAATCAAATTTATATGAATTTTTATTTTTTATTCACAGTTATCGGAGGCAACTTTGCCTTTGCCTTTGCGGTCGCAGCTGGTCGACAGACAATTCGCACCTTCTCCCAGCAACGCGTAAGGTGCTAGACCGTTGGTGTTTTGTGAGTGTGCTTTTGTTGCTATCAGATACTGTTGTCGTTGCTGCTTAGGTACAAGATTTTTTATAGCTTTTTTTCTGGAAGACATTAGTTTGTCTTTTTTGTTGTCGTGCATTTAGTTTTGCACAAAGTTAGTTGTTTGAAAAAGAGTTTTACGTGGATTAAGTGGAAAAAGTTAAAAGAGAGCGTATTTTTTACTTGCATACTCTGTAAAAAATAACAAGCATTTTGTAAAATTTTACTCAAACATTTGTAATTATAAAAATAAAATTTTTTAAAGTATAGTTTCTTTTTAACGATTATGAGCCTCAAAATTCACTTTTATCAAAGTGGTAAAAAAATAATATTTGTTTTTTGATTTTTTATTAGTAGATACATACTTCAAAATGAAAAAAAAAATTATAAAATTTTACGCAAGACATATAATTTTAAAAATAATATTTTTTAAATAATAGATTTCTTTTATCAATACTGAGCCATATAATTCACCTTTTTTACGCTAGATATATAATTTTAAAAATAATATTTTTTTTAAACATTTTTGAGGCAAATAATTCACCCTTTTTAAATTGGTAGGGAAAGAATAATTGTTTTTTTTTTCTAATTTCACATTATCTAGTGGTTACATGCTTCAAAAAGAAAAAAATTATATTTAAAATGTTTTCAATGGAGAGCAAATTTTAAATATAAATTTGAAAAAAAAATTGCATGTACAAAATATTATTTAGTTTTAAAAAATTTCAAAACAGTTTTTTTCTAAACTTAAAAAATCTGATAAAAGATAAAATTTTTTAAAGTTTTTAAATTTAATTTTTATAATGAAATTTAAAGTACAGTACGCCCCTGGTAAAAGTAACCGATAAAATTTAGGGCTGTTGCATTGATAGATGTTGTTGCAATAGCTAAGTCACAAAAGTATTGGGACTTAAATGGGATGGGAAATTATGGAAGATCAGCAAAGCCTTGTTGTTCATCATAAAATTAAGTAACAGTACTTATTCACTATATTTATTCATTTTAAAAGATACATACGTACTTACAAACTGCGAACCCAAGTTAAGCTACTATTTTTTCTTCATGAAGGGTATATATAAGGGCTTAGTTTTTGTGAAAACTTACAATAACGTAGTAGCTAAGCAGAAATATTCGGGTGTTGCTTTAATTGAAGTTATTTATTTATTTACTTATTAAAGTCATATGACCTATTAGTATACACATAAATATACAGTCAGCGTCAAAAGTGTGCATACCCTGACGTTTTGACGAGTTTTTTTTTGTATTCTCCATACCAAATTTTCCTAATTAAAAAAAGAATAATATTTCTTTTTTTTATTTCATGCAGAACTCACGAAAATGCAAGAAATTTTCATCGAAGTTTTCTATTTTTCAATTCGATTTCTTAGAAAAAGTGTGCAGTTCATTAAATTTGAGTAGCAAGTTTCAAGTCTCTATAAACTACCGTCGATTTTTAAGAATTTTTTCTGCCGATGGTGTTGCGCATTTTCTTCCAAGAAATCGAATTGAAAATTTGAAAATTTCGATGAAGAGTTTTTTTGTGTTTCTTGCATTTCTCTAAAACAGCAACATATAAATTTTGCATGCGGCATATCTTTATTTGATTCTGCGAGTAAAATAAATACACACACCGGTATGAAAAATTTATAAAACTTTTAAGAATCGCAAAAATTCGGCTTATTTTCAAGTTCGTCGGATTTTTATGTTTTTTTTAATGTATGTTACCGTATATCTTTGGACCGCGTCAACTGATTTCGATAATTATTTTTGCATCGGAAAGGTAGTGACTCAGAGGTGGGTCCCATACTAATCTTGTTTAGAGCCGATAATTGGATCGTGGAGAAATTAACGATAATCTTAAATGCTTATATGAGAATTGATGTCGGGTTTGTTTTTTGGTTAAAAGTTACTTGTTAACTTGAAAATTTCGACTGATAAATTTAACATATTATTATTGAAACTTATTCATATAAATTCATAAACTCGCTGAGTTATAGCTGGTCAAAGTCAAAACTGCCTATGCCAATATTTTTTTTGGCAGCAATATGAAATAATTTGTTTTATTTTGTAATGCCGTATTTACACTGTGCATTAAATGACACAAGTTTTAATGACAAAGTGGTCCATTAAAACAACTTGTGTCGCAACGTTAATAATGACTAACTGACTGAGTGTGTTGTCACATATTATTTGTTTGAGCACACTCATTTTTGTCATCTTAATTCCAAGTGGAAATTCAGCATAAAAGCAGCACATAGTTGCTTCTGTTTCAAAAATGTTTTCTCATAAGGAATAATAGGGTTTGTCGCATTGTTCCGACAGATGTTTTGAAAAGTCTTACTAAACTTTTCAACACTTTTTGTTATATTAAGAACCGTTCACACGTTATTTATTTTGATTATCACTAATTTTTTTTGCCGGCTCTTCGACTCGTTTAAGATTATTTATGCTCAAAAAAGGGATGTTTATAAAAGAATTGTATTAGGTTTTTTCACTAAGATTCTTATGGGCTCTGTGAATTATGGCCTCGTGTATTAAGACTGCAATAAAAAAATGAAATTAGACCGCGCGAGCATACATAATTCATACTCAAAAGTGAAATTAGGCCACGATCAAAAAATGAAATTAATCAATTCCATCCAACATTCTTATGCCGGGCATTAAATGACAAACACTTTAATGTAAAATTTGTGTAAGTTTATTTCCACATGAAATTTTTTAAATGTCAAACATTTTCTATCATTTCAACTCCTAGTGAAAAAACGGTATTACAAATTTAAAAATTTGGTAAACTGAGACTTTTTTAAATTTTTTTCCATTATCATCTTATCATTAAAAACTATAAGCAGAGGTTATGTAGAACGATTTTTAAAGGAAAAAAATCAAAATAATGGATTGATATAAATGTATGTATGTACATATACATATATCCATAGAAGCAAAAGTAGAACAAAAGTTGAAATTTTGTTTAAGGGTTTGTAAGAAATTAAACGACATGGTATTCGGAAGCACGACGATTGATAATTTTGAAAAATAAAAAAGATATAAAAAAAAAATATGACATAATTTGCCAAAAATATAAAATTTGTATTTTTTTTTGCGATTATTTAGAGTATAGCAAAGTTTTTTTTATCACATATGTCTAAAGAGCCATAGCCCAACTAAAATATGTATTTATTTCAGTGAAAATTGACATAAACATACAATTACAAATGTACACACAGTTTGACTATTAAAAAAATTCAGTACTCGTACCAATTAATGCACAAAAACCCCATAAACTCGTATAAAAATGTGCACTACATAAAACATCGCGTGTTTTAAAAACTGAAACAAAAATTAAACCCCCAAAACGCTTTCAACAATGGATATGACAAAAGACATTATTGATTATACACAGAAACATACAGATACAGCCGAACGCTTAATTGCCAGCTATCAATCGCCAGTGTCCGAGATCAGCGACGGAGAAGCGAGCGCACGCGCATGCGCCACATCCTCGCCATTTCAAGTGAGCACCAACATTGTTGACGCCAAATTAGTTAACTCACCAAAAGCACATAACGAGCTAACCATCAACACAGTGGCCAGTGAAATGCATACGACAGCAGCTGCACCAGCCGCTTCGCCACAAGCAGACGCCATGGAACAACAGCAGCAGCAGCAGCAGCAGCAGCAGCACGCGCACGAGTTTGCAAGCGCCACCAATGCTGATACAACAGCTGACACAAGCGCCAAGGCGCAACCACCAACACAACAGCCACCCAAAAATACAGGCGCAGGCACGGGCGCCGGCACTGTTATGAGCGGTGACATAACACCGCCGCCACGCCCATTCACCACCAGTGAGGTGGTGGGCCTGAGCAGCGCGCTCGACGATGATCCTGATTTGCGCGTTGATGTGCAGCTGCCGAAATCACGTTCGCTGCCCACCTCGCCCGATCATCACCGACACAGCTTAGACTCGGCTTCGGCGGAGCTTCTGTCGCGCATGAACGCTGCATTGTTTGAATTCGAGCAGCGACGCGGGCTGGATGCATCCATACATATGCCGCTGGCTGCGGGCTTATCGAAGTTTGCAAAGTCCAGTTTGGCAAACGCGACACCACTAACCGCAGCGCGCAAGTCCATTTCGCCCATTGGAGGGCTGAAGTCCAAGAAGCAGTTGGCTGCTGCAGCAGCAGCAGCGGTGGCCAGTAATGCACAGCAACAGCAATTCTGTTTGCGCTGGAATAATTATCAAACCAATTTGACAAATGTCTTCGATGAACTGCTGCAAAATGAGTCCTTCGTCGATGTGACGCTTGCCTGCGAGGGTCAGTCTATCAAAGCGCACAAAATGGTGTTGTCCGCTTGCTCGCCATACTTCCAGGCGCTTTTCTACGATAATCCTTGCCAACATCCGATCATCATAATGCGCGACGTGCGATGGGAGGAGCTGAAGGCCATCATGGAGTTCATGTATAAGGGCGAGATCAACGTGAGTCAAGAGCAGATAAATCCGCTGCTCAAAGTTGCCGAAATGTTAAAGATACGCGGTTTGGCTGAGGTGAGTGCCAGCGGCGGACATGGTATGGCCGCACCACATCCTATGATGCCTGAACAGCGCATGACCATTTTCGATGAAGACGCCGATGACGGAGAGAGCGACGACGATGCGGACGGTGGCGAAGATGGTTGCCAGAAACCGAAGCGCGCACGCATGTTGGATGCGGCGATCGAAAAAACGTATCCACATGTAGCAGCGCTTGATTTGAATTTGAGCGCACAGCGTCAGCGTAAACGCTCTAGAGATGGCCTCTTCACCGACAATAATATGACGCGCTTTGGCGGTACCACAGCAATACCTGTCACTGTCAATGTGGGAGACGGTAGCGCAAATTCAACTACAAATGCCGGCGATGCAACAAACAACGCTAATGCCGATGCCATGCCACAACCACCACCCGTTGCCGTGACCACTTCGACCATTGTACGCAATCCTTTCGCTTCGCCAAATCCCAACAGCGGCAATGCAACAGCGGCTGGTGGCAATTCAACTAATTCACAGTCCACCACCATAACGCTTTCGACAGCTGCACCATCATCCGGCAACTCTACACCCACACCAACCAGCACAACACCGCATGCACCGGGCACACCAACATCGCATGCCGGCGCTGGCCACTCGTCGTATCGTTCGTCTGGTCGCAGCAGTTCACCACCGTTGCCGTCGGCCAACAGCCTCAAAGGCGCAATGTCTTCACCGGCCGCCAATGCAAGCGGCATTTCCTTGAATGTACATTCCCATCCTGCCGCGGCGGCTGCTGCTGCAGCTGCTCTCAGCGTTAATCCACATCATCCACACCATCCACATCATCATCATCATGCCGCTGCTGCCGCCCAACAGCTAGCCGCTCAACATCAATTGCATGCTGCAGCACATTCACATGCCGCCATGGCTTCGGCGCTTGGCGCTACGTTGGCTGCTGGCGCTGCTGGTGCGGGTGCGGGTGCAAGTGGCGCAGCCTCAGGTAGTGCGCCGAATTTGACTTCGTCGGTGGGTCATCATGACGAAATGGAGATTAAGCCGGAAATTGCTGAGATGATACGCGAAGAAGAGAGGGTAAGTGAAGATGTTGTTTTTGATAATTTGTCATACAGAACACAGATATTTTATTCTTCATGATTATATTCCCTAACTATAAAACTATTGTTATAAGTACCTGTTTTTGTATTAATTGCTTTTCATCTGTACGAACCACAAGTATCTATATTTTATTAGGGATCTGAGTTTTAAGTTTTGTCTCTTTTAAAGCCGGTGTGCGATATGTTTAAAAATATCGCAATTATTAAGTTGCAATTAAACTGGGTTTGTGAAAAAGTAATCTTAATCTGTACGATGACTCCCTCTCCCCTAATCTAAGGTATAAGTTCTTTTACGAGCGAATTTATTATCCGAATAGACTTACATATCTCCTGTTGCTGATAGCCATTTCACTGAAAAGACCAGAAAGGTACACAAAGAAATCGGCTCGAATCCGGAACTTTAGTAATTTTGGAACTCATTGCGCACAGAGTCATACCCAGCACAAATGTGTCCACATTTCGACACAGTTGCTGGTGAGTGAATATTGTTCTGGGTCAGTGCCCCATAGTAGGGATGCGCACCCAGTAGCTCAGTTGGCTCACGACAATACTACTGTGGCTCGCCTCTGATGAGGCGGCTCTTGAGGTATTCGAGAGAAAGATTTTGCAGAAGATTCACTGGCCTTTACGCATTGGCGACGACGAGTACCAGACGATGGAACGATGAGCGGTATAAGCTTCCCAGAGATATGAAGATAGTGCAGCGTATTATGATACCGCGGCTCCGCTGACTTGGCTTTGTCGTTCGAATGGACACCACGCTCCAGCTCTGAAAGTATTCAACTCGGAAACCGCTGGTGGTAGCAGAGGAGGAGGGAGGCGCCTACTGCGATGGAAAGACCACGACGAGGATGACTGATACGACTAGAAACACAAATACGAATACGAATGTTAAGACTAACGCGCAACCTAATATAAACGCACGCCGTTTGTTTACGCACTCTATCAGTCCCAGTCTATCTTTTTGTCCGATCAGTTTAAATTGATTTGATTTAAGTTTAACGGCTAGTCTGATCTCTTNCTGAGATGATACGCGAAGAAGAGAGGGTAAGTGAAGATGTTGTTTTTGATCATTTTGCCATGTACGCAGATATTTTATTCTTCATGATTATATTCTCCAATTATAAAACTACTGTTATATATACCTGTTTTTATATTAATTGCTTTTCATCTGTACGATCCACAAGTAGCTATATTTTATTACGGATCTGAGTTTTAAGTTTTGTCTCTCTTAAAGCCGGTGTGCGATATGTTTGAAAATATCACAGTTCTTAAGCTAGTATTCAACTGGGTTTAAGTAAAAGTAATCTTAATCTGTACGATGATTCCCTCTCCCCTAATCCCGAATATCAGTCCTTTTACGAGTGACTTTATATTCCGAATAGACTTATCTCCTGTTGCTGATAGCCATTTCAATGAAAAGACCGGAAAGGTACATAAAGAAATCGCCTCTAATCCGGAACTTTAGTAATTTTGAAACTCACTGCCCACAGAGTCATACCCAGCACAAATGTGTCCACATTTCGACACAGTTGGTGGCGAAAAGTGAGTGACTATTGTTCTGGGCCAGTGCCCCATAGTAGGGATGCGCACCCCAGTAGCTCAGCGGGCTTACTACAATACCACTACCGGCTAATTTGTTCCCTGCGTCACCTGAAACAGCTTACGTGCGTTTAAGCGAAAAGTCAAATCTAAATCTCACGCAGAACAAAAATTAGAATGTGATTTACCTTTTTTTTACGCGCGCTGTTCAGTTTCGGTTGGTACCATACAAGTTGTAGGGGCATGATCAATTTTCGATAGATAATTGCCGGCGGTTGGCCTATTAGGATAGGTTAGGTTAGGCTGAAGTGGCCTCACTAGCATACCTTGGCCCTTAGATTGTTGTGTTACCACGCGGATCGTCAAAACCCTCAATCCATCGTGTGGATTTCGAAAAACCCAGAAGTTGCTGTATGCCCACTTCGCATATGTCGGTTAAGTCTCCGAAAATTCACGAACCCATGAGCTATCTTCTGCAAAGCGCGGGGCATACGCACAACAGTTGCCGCAAGGCTTTTGGCTCTTCTTCATTTGTGCAGCTTATGGAGAAGTCGTTATGGAGTATTGTTAACCTCTCCACGCGCCTTCCGATGGCAACATGGTATGTTAGCAGACGCAGGGCTGCGCGAACAAGTCCCCTCTACTTGACATGAGGAGATGCTTCGACCGTTTTTCGTCCCATTTTGGCAACGTAAAATTTGTATTGCTGCAAGTGGTGACCTAAACCCACCTGTCACTTGCTAGTTTAAGAGATAGATCCCTTAAAACGAGCTTGTAAATAGCGAGCAGCATGCTTAAACTCTTCCAAGATTGCGAAAGTGGAGCTGATGTGCCCCCACAAAGTGAAGAGCAGACTTCAACTTGGTTGGGTAAGCGAAATTATTGTTCCAGTTACTGACTTTTTGAACAAAAGATATTTTCTTTCGGCAAAGGAGCATTTGGCGTCTCAAAATACCCCCTGCCTGATACTTTTCAAATATTAGGGGTTCTTAATATAATATACGTTTTTTCAGTGATGGTCTCTTCAGTCTATCTTTTTGTCCGATCAGTTTAAATTGATTTCATTTTAAGTTTAACGGCTAGTCTGATCTCGAGTTTTCCCTTCATTCCACCCAAAAACTCTTACCGCTGAGCCACTTCTTCAATTTTACTAATAAAAAATAACTAGAGGAGGCTAAATTTGTATGAGGCAGAAACTTATTATTTAAATAATTAATGCAATTTGGGGCATTCGTGCATTCAGGGCTTTCACTGAATCGATCGCTGTCTGACTTTTCGTAAAATCTACAAAAATTCTATCATTGAATTCGAATAGCTACAAAGGTAGCTCGGAGATCGCATTTACCGTTTGTCTTGATAGAAGAGCACATTTTCTTCGCCAACTAGGGTCCTATTCATTTTCTTCAAATCAACTGGAGCCACAGTTCAGCTTCACGAAGGCTGGGTCAAGATACGAACAAGTAATGCTACGAGAACTTTGTGTTCAAGATTAGATAGAAGGCAGTGGAAGGGAGTTGATATATTCGAAATTATTATGGGAGAAAAAAATCCATTTATTATCAGACCGCAGTTAAAGTCAAATGCGTATGCATGTTTGCAAAGCTAGTTAGTTAAAATTACAAATTAACAATTTAATTTACTTAATACTCGTAGAAAAAAAAACAAATTCAAATAAATTGCTAAATAAATAGAAATCTTGCGTTCTTTTGTCAATATTTATACAACTTGCATGCAGCATTTTCCCATTCTCCTTTACAAAAGACATTTATGCGCATACAAATGCAAATTTTTGTTATTGCACAACTATAGCCACATGTGTTCAAGCATTTACATACATTACATTCATTATGCAATTTTGTCATTAACATAAAATGTAAAATTATTTCAAGACAAAGTAAGCGACGGAATTTGTAGGCTGATGCCATCAATCGACTAACTGACTAACTGACTAGCCGACAAACTGACTGACTGCCTAAGTAACTAACTGCCTAACTGTCAAATTGTCCCACTGACTGATTGTTTGTTTTGGACGACTGTCTGCGCTGCGTAAATGCCATACAATTCATAAGTGTCTTTTGGGTGGTGAATGGGGGTGGTGCACGGGGTAGCAAGGCGAAAGCGGCTACAGTACATACGTACATGGACGGACTTTACGACTGTCACGGACATATGGGGCACTAGGCTGCTGCACACTTAAGTTGCGCTTAGCCAAGTTGCAGCTGGGCTGAGGCGCAGGTGAGTAGGTCCCTACGACATTATTGCATATGCATTTGCATGCGTATGCATGTGTATGTGTGCGCGTGTGCCCGCGCGCTACTCTGTGTGCTATGCAAATTTTCAATTCCACCACACATTTACATAAATAAATGTCGAATAACTATGTACATATATAAACAATTGCGACTAAGCGAAAAAAAACAACAATAACTTACAAGTAAATATACTAAATTACTTACTAACTAATTTGCGAATAACAGCAACAATAACAACAGAAGCAACACTGCAAAAGCAGCGACAGCGACAGCGACAGCGAGGTCCCTCGCTTGACGTCTTGAAAATGTAGAAATATGTATGCGCGTGGAAAATAAAATGTAGACAATTCAATTGTAATACGAAATTCATTACCTGAACAATTTAAGTATATTTGCGAAAGCTTCTTTATAATATTTGTTGTTTTTATTTTCTTCATATTTTGTTGGCGAATAATAAAATATTTATTATTGCGTTGCGCTTACTTTGTAAATATGCAATAATGTCGTAATTTTTTTTGCATAAAAATACATTTATGCGCCAAGGTACTCGTGTACATACATCATTTAAGGGTAAGCTATGACGTACATGCATACATACGCAAGAAGTAAGTGGAGCGATAGCGGCAAGGTATGAGGAAAAGGAGGTCACCTGGTAGGTCGAATAGAATGAATTAATATTGCAATTGAGTATGCAACTATGTGATATTTTATGTATGCAACTTAATGCTAAAGAAAAGCAGGTTCATATACATATAAACCTACATGCTTACTAGTGCGGGTCGATTTGTAGGGGCCCAAAAAAATTAACAAAGGCACACCGCGATTATGATGATAGTTCTAAAATAAATTTCGAGCCAGCAATTTTTTCTATCTAGTTTTTTTTTCAAAAAGTGGCTCACCTGTTGAAACAGCTGTATTGAAAACTAGCCAAAATGTGTGTCTGGAGGTTTTTGGGGTCGAGGAATCAATTTCTGGCATTCAGGGCGCTTCCGTAATTTTTTTTTTTATCGGATTTTAACGCCTTTTTTTTCGAAAATCGACAACATTGTTGCGAAAATCCACGAAATTTTACTTTCTCATAATGCAATTTCAATTTTTAAATAGCCTAAAATGTTCAGCGTTGAAGACTTTTATTTTTTTTTTTATTTTTTATACCTATTTTTTTAGTTTTTTTTATTTTACA